AAAAAGTGTCTAGTTTAGCTTGTGACTCAAACAATCAGACAAGTTTAAGACAACCATTGAACTTAAGTATATAGCAGAAGTGCTTATTCTTTCATTTTGTCTCGCAGAATAATAAAAAAAACATACTCAAGGGTCAAAATTCAATAAAAATAGTAATTTTGACCACTTCCTCAGAGTTGTTAAGTGCAACTGGCTTTTTAAAATGTATGTGTGGCAGTGAAGAATACAGTGACAGTGACTACAGTTTGGTGCCACTGTCTTGACTCATGCAAAGGTGCAGCAGTTTTACCCATCATTGCTTTTGCACCATCAGTAAAAATGTCAACATAGAAAGAGATAAAAGAAACAATTAGTAGTATTATGGAAATACTTTTGACCTTGTGGATCCTCTGAAAGGGTCTCTGAGGTTCCCAGGGGTCAGTGGATCTCACTTTGAGAACCACTAGTCTAAACCCATATATTCAAAGTGTGGGGTAGAATTGGCATCACCTGGGAGCTTGCTAGTACTGCAATCTCATGCTCTCCCCAGACCTACTGAATCAAAGTACAGTTTAACAAGATTCCCAGATGATTCTTATGCACGTTAAAGCTGGAGAAGCACTGGTCTAAACCAGGGGTTCTCTACACCGGCTACATATTATAGTCACTTGGAAAGGTTTTTCAAACTAGCAATGTAGACCCCACCTTACAGATTCTGACTTATTTTGTCTGGAGTGGGGACAAAGTATGGTGTTCTTAAAAAGCACCCCAGTTTGACTGTAATGTGCAGACTGGGACCCAAACCACCCATATGGCTAATAAAATCCTCTTCCTTCGCTTCTTATGGAACTAGGATTCTGTGAATATATGGTTATATAGGTCTCAAATATAGCTATAGAGAAGGCCCTTGTGTTACCACCTCACTAGAGCTGAGGGAATAAGGCACCATTGGTAGAACCAGCACTGTCGAGGAACGACAATTTAACTGGTGAGGGAGAGCTTCAGGGTTAAGGGAGCGAACTCTAGTGCTTGACTTCCTATGTCAAAATGTGGCTCCCCACTAGCTAGTTGTACCATAAGTGTCTGAAAAATACTAATACTTTGTGTATCTCACTTGCCCTATCTATAAAATAGGGATCATACTAATGGGTTGTTATGATTGTTAGAATTCATGTGTGAAGGGCACACACGAAGTGCTGTATTGGTGTTAGCTCTGCTACTGAAGTGTTAAAAAATGTCTATTCTTTGAATTCTGTGTCTGCTTATAAAAACACATACACGGGTCTAGGTGTCCATGAAATAAGTTAGCAAAATTCATTGTCCTCAGGCACTCAATAAAATTCCCAACTTACTCCAAATGGTTAGACATTTACAGACATGTGAGTTATTAAACATGTTATGTCATGAAAACTTTAACTTGCCTCCTTCAGCAGGAAGGAAACACAGGATTATCATC